TGCGGGGGGAACTGCGCAAAAAACGCATCCTCGTACCGGCAGCCGGTACGCTTTCTACTAGGTGTCTTTTTTAACTGCGTATCTTAGCATTTTGCCTATTCCGAGTGGTACAGAACTTTGTTGAGACATGTACAATGTGTAATTTACAGGCTACAAAAGCACAGGAGAAAATAAAAGCAATTGCTCGCCAGCGAGAATTCTTAGAGAGCAGCCTAGCGGAATCTGAACGAAACATCAGGGAATTGGTGCAGTCACGTCCATAACTTAATTTTTACTGTTATTGTTCTCTGATCTTGTTTTAAGGTAATGAGGGTTCCCATCATTTTTGGGCGCCTTTGCTTTAAAAATTCTTCATCGCCATCCTTGCAACAGTCAGCTTTAGTATTGGGGAGGGAAGGAGGGTGTTCACCCAAGAAATACCGTAATAAGCAGAAAATGAAAACACGAAATTGTCGTTTGAAGACGAAGAGTATGTTCAGTTGGCAGGGAAGCAAACGGGCTGGGTCGCTTTTTTAGATCATACATGCGTCCATGCCGGTGGTGTGTGTGTGTGTTGGTTTATCATTGGTAATTTGAATAATACCCAAAGCATTGCCTGGAATTTAGTGGTACCAAACTGAGAAAAGATGTGTGGGATACGCATTTGTGCAGCCCCATTTCTTGTAGATGCATTCTGTACAGCTCAGTTGTTGTTTCGTGAATTTTTGAAATAAAATTGAGTTCTTTTCCGTTGACTTCTGTGTTGTTGGTTCGAAATCCTCGCTTCATTTCTGCACCGTTTGTGAAAGATTGTATGAAAGTTTCTTTCTGTTTGACATAAGATTTTGCTTCTTGTGTTCCGCTCGAAATTTTTATAAATCTCCGAAGTTTTTCTTATTGCTAGGCGCAATTTGAGAGGGTTGACCAGTTATCATCAGGTGACGCTGAATGTAATGTTTCGAGCAGTTCCATAGTTTCCGGCTTTAGAAGCCCAGGAGCTGAAAGTTGTGGAACTGCTCGAAACACTGCAATTCTTCCTAGCGGGGAGAACCGGTTGATTTCATTCTTTTTTGTGTTGTTCCATTTTTCTGCGTTTATTTGCAGTGCAGTGAGGATTGCGCGTAATGATCATTCCAGTGCGTTGCTTTACGTGTGGTAAGGTTATTGGTAACAAGTGGGACGCCTATCTTGGATTGCTGCAGGCTGAGTATTCCGAAGGTTGCAATTTTACGCATCTGCTCGTTTGAAAATGGCAA